TGAGCTGGTGGCAGAGCAGGTGAGGACAGACGGCCGGCCGGGCAGTATTCTTATCCCGACAATTCACCAGGCGGCTGGAGAGGGGATCTGTGGGCACCTGAGTGAACAGAGTCACTCAGGCATTCATTCGGAAGGCAGCACTGGCAGGAGGGGTCACTTGGGGAGATGGAAGGGGAGGCATGCAACTTCTAAAGGGGAGCCAGGGCCCCACGTGAAAGGCACGGATGTGTGAGCATCTGGGAGGTGCCTGGGGCCACAAACCTGGGCCTTAATCCTGGCTCTGATACACTAGGCTCTGAAGCAGAGGAGGGCTGTGGGAAGGATTACTCTGACCCTGTTTTATACATCCTCAGGAGCTTCCCTTTGATTGCCCCAGGTTTCTCACACACAGTTCTCCGGCCTCTTTACTATCTATCACCCATGCCAGCCTCAGGGCCTTTGCACGTGCTGTTCCCTCTGCCTGGATCACCTCGTTACACTGTCGGCTTTTTAACTTTCTGCTCAATGTCACCTCCCTTGGCAGCTCCTCTGCTATATCCTATGTATAGCACCCCCCCCTTTCCTTTTATTCCTTTCCTCTTTATTTTGTTCCCTCCTTCTTTCTCTCCCTTTTGTCCTTTGACAAGGTCTCACTCTGTAGCTCAGGCTGGTCCAGAACTTACTCGGTAGACCAGGCTGGCCCTGAACTAATGGTAAGCCTCTTTCTTTGGACTCCTGAGTGCTGGTTCTAGGCACCAGCCACCATGCGGGTGCAGCTCATCCACCTTCCTTTTCAATGTCTGTGTGTTTCCTTCACCATGCTTTCCCAAAACACTTACTTCTCTGCTTACCTAAAGCACATGTGTTCTTACGTGTTTCCCCTTCGCTCTCCTGAGCCTGGCACACGGTAGATACTCAGTGAGTGTTTGCTGAATGAATAAACAAACGATAAAAAGAGAGACAGCTGAGCAAAAGCTTACTGGTGGATGTTAGGGCAGCAGAACCAGGGGATTCTTGTCCTCTCTTCTCCTGTCCTGGCCCTGCTGGGTCTCAAGGATAGTTTTGGTGGCGGGAGAGTGTGCTTCCTTAGGGATTCACAGTGAAAGGAGCTCTGATGTTTGAACGCCCCCAAGAGTGGGAGGCTCAGGGGCAGACGTGCCAGTTTCCAGGTAGAAATAGAAGGGGTGGGTTTTTGGAGTGTCCTGAGCAGCTGGAGCTGGTGACAGAGGGTGTCTGTCCTCAGTACCCCCATTTCTTCACTCCCTACACTAGAGCTTGGCACATAGTATTTTTCATTCTTTGGTTGGTGAGACAGGGTCTCACTTTGTAACCCCAGGAGACTAAGCTGACGGTTAACTGTAAGTTGACCCTCCTGCCTCCCGGAGTGCTCTACCCACTGAACCATCCCCTCCTCTGTGTGTGCACTGCCTGGCAGGACCAATGCTTTCTAAGAAGTGTGAATTCTCTCCCCTCCCTGCAATCACTGGGATGAACCTGTGTGAGCTGTCTTTGAGGTAGGGAGGGTGTCCCGCAGAGCCCGGCCATGCTGTACCCTGATCTCCCCACCTAGCTTCCAGGGTTATGGGAAGTCAGTATCTAATGTCTGAGGCCTCTCGATGTGGTTGTTTGTCATAGTAACCTGCGCTGAAGGTGACGGGATCTCCAGTCTGGTTTTTTTCCACATGGTCCTCCTAAATTCACGGAGAAACAAGGACTGAGGCCCAGACCAAGCAGGGTTAGAGCCCCTCTTCCAGGCGTTTCTTGGCCTGCTCTGAACTCCGAGTTCTCACAGATCCCTTACCCTCTCACACTCCTCCCAGCCCTGGCCTCAGATCCTGGCTCTTGCCCCACAGCCATGCTTCTGAAGCACAGAACACATAGTAAACCTTTTAAAAGAAAGAGAGAGAGAGAGAGAGAGAGAGAGAGAGAGAGAGAGAGAGAGAGAGAGAGAGAGAGAGATTAGCCTCAGGACCACTGTGTGCTGTTGAACAGGTTGTACAACGCACAGGCATCGCGGTAACGCATTTGGACTTCACCCTAAGGTAATAGGGAGACATCAAAAGCTTTCCCCACCAAGAATAATTACTTTTTTTGGCCCATGTGTATGTAAGTGTACTGCATGTGTGTCTGGTGCCTATGGAGGCCAGAAGAGGGTGTCAGATGCCCTGGAACTGGAGTTATTCGTGGCTGTAAGCTGCCAACTTGGGTCTTCTGTAAGAATAGCCAGGGGTCTTAATAGCTGAGCCATTCTTTAAAAATGGGGAAAAATCCTTCCCTAGATTTTTTTTTGACCAGGCACTGAAGGTCCTGGTGGCCCTGGACTGCCTTCATCTGCTCCTTGTGGACTTTACATGTAGCCACATTGAATACAACACGTTTTCATACTCCTGTGCTTCATACACACACGTTTACCTGCCGAAGGATGCTGGAGAGGAAGACTGGCATGGACCAGAAATTCAGTTTCCCTGCTACTTGTTGGGCAGGTGACCTCCAAGCCTCAGTTTCCTAATCTGAAGAGTGAGATTAAACATAAAACTCACTCCTCATTGCAGTGAACACATAGGAGCCCTTCCAGTAAAACGTGGTTTCTCGAAGGGTGGTGGCGGCACATGCCTTTAATCCCAGCATTCCAGCCCTCCAGAGGCAGGTGAATCTCTGTGAGTTCAAGGCCAGCCTGGTCTACAGAGTTCCAGGACAGCCAGAGCTACACAGAGAAACCCTGTCTTGAAAAAAAAAAAAAAAAAAAGAAGAAGAAGAAAAGAAAAAGTGTTTTCTCACAGCTGGGTGTGGTGGTTCATGCCTTTCATCCTAGCATAGAAGGTTCAGGCAGGAAGACTACCATGAGTTTCAGACCATCCTGGGCAGCAGAGTGAGACCCTATTTCCAAAACAAAATAAAAATTTAACAACAACAGGGCAGGGGATGTGGCTTAGTGGATAGGGCCCTCATTATGCAATATTGAAGCCTAGAATGTGGGTCTCCAGGACCCACATAAAGCCAGATGCAGTAGTCCACATCTGTAATCCCAGCATGCCTATGGGGAGATGGGAAGCAGAGGCAGGAGACTCTCTGGAAGATCTTGGACAGCGAGCCTGGTGTACAGAACCGTGAACAACAGACCCTGTCTCACACAGGGTAGAGTGTGGGGATTTACATCTAAGATGGTCTCTGACCTCCACACATACACAATGCCATGCATGTACCCATACATGCCTGAATTCACACACCCACACACATTAAAAACAACAACAAAAACCCACAAAAGATCCACTACCAAGGGGGCTGGAGAGACAACTCAGCGGTTAAGAGCATTGGCTCATGAGGTCCAGTTCCCAGTACTCTACAGTGGCTCCCAACTGTCCAACTCCAGGGGAGTTCCAATACCTTCTTCTGGCCTTAGTGGGCAATACATGCACAGGGTGTGTTCAAGTACGTCACTCCGCTCTGTTGGGTCCCCTTTTCTATTCAGGATACAGGAGATAGCTCTGAATGTCCAAGACCAGCTATCATGCAAAGAAACTTTATTTTCCATGAGGCACATGGGTGGTGGTGGTGGGGTGGTATGTATGTGTGGAGGACTCCCCCTCCTAAGCCTAGAATTGGGCACTAACTGGGAAAACTTTGCTAATATCCTTTGGGCCCTGATCTAATGCAAGGGCTGGTCTTAGCTTGTACCTCTAGCCTAGCACCCCCCACCCCGAGTCTGATGTGCTTTTCCTGAGTGGAAATCATAATCCCTCAGGTCTGACCTTGGCCAAAGACAATGGTGCTCTGTGGGCTGATAGGAAGGGGCAGACACTTGCTCCACATTGAGTTACAGTGGGTCTCTTCTGTGAGCTTCCTCTTGCATGCCATGGAATAGTCTCCTAAGGAGGCAGGCGGGCTGGACGAAGAGCAACAGCTTTTGCAGGGCTGGCTGGGTGTAGGAGGGAAAGGGCCCAACTTCTCCAACCAGCGGGGGAAGCCGCCTCTTTGCATTCTTGACTCTCTGCTGCCCCCTTGTGGTTATAAGGCTGGCGATGCCACGTTGAGCAGGGGGCCTCGTGTGTGTGTGTGTGTGTGTGTGTGTGTGTGTGTGTGTGTGTGTGTGTGTGTGTGTGTGTGTGTGTGTGTGTGTGTGTGTGTGTGTTTGGGGCTGGAGCAGAGAGATGTACTTGTATCTCTACTATAGTAACAGGGTCTCTCTTCCCCATCTATCAGATGTGGGTTACAATGCCAGGCAGCCGTGATACCCGCTCTGGGGCATTTGATTATCAAGAAATTGAAAGCAAAGAGGGGTGTGGGGGGGTGGTATTCATTTGCAATGCACTGGGAAGGAGGGGTTAGACAGTAAGAATATGAGCAGTGTCGAGTCTTTTCTGACCATGGGGACAAGGGTCTTCTATTAAGCTAGCCCCAGGGCCACAGCCAAGCGAGCCTTCCGACTCCTAGGCCAACAAAGCAGAAAAGCTGAAAAAGCTAGACAGGAGCACAAGCTTGTAACTGTATAGACTAGGGATCTTTTATTATGCTCTTAGGAAAAAGATCCCAAAACCTTGGTAAATTATACCTAAAATCAAAGGAATCCAGAAAGTTCCACCAGATGGCTAGGAGCGGATCAGACTGCAGCAACTAGATCTCAAGATGGGAAGATATCTTGACTACCTCACTAGAGAGGGCCACACCGACAGAATCTTGATTGCAGAGTGGGAGAGGCAAGGGGTAGGAAAATTCACCCCCGTTCTGTACTCAGGCTCGACTCTGACAACTTTCCGACCGGCTGCATCCGATGGGTCCCCCAGAGCAAGCTAAAGTGGGTTGCATTATAGTACATGCATTGTGGCTGCCAGGTCTGCGCTGGCTGAGACCCTTGACCCTGTCTCTTCATCATAGATTTTGGATTGTAATCGCCTGCTCTTCCCACAGCAGCTCTTCTTGGAGTGGTACCCCCAGGCCCGAGTTGGAGTGTGGTCTCTGCAGTGAAGGTTTTGATGCTCATCGGGTGAGATTTGAAAACTACTGAAACTCGCCCCCCCCCCCCCCCCCCCGTGTGTGTGTGTGTGTGTGTGTGTGTGTGTGTGTGTGTGTGTGTGTCCACTTTTTCTCAACAGTCTCATGTCGCTAGACTGGCCAAACTCATTATGTAGCTAAGAATGACCCTGAACTTCTGATCAAGGATTCACCGCTGTGCCAAGTTTACGGTGTTGGTGATCCAGACTAGCCCTCGGCCACGTCAGGCAAACACTCTATCAACTGAGTTACATTCCCAGTCCCTAATGAAAACAAAAGAATCCTGGGCAGGTGGCTCCCCAGCAAACAGAGGAAAGAAACAGGTGTGAGGGAAACGGAACATGTCCCCAAACTGCACACATCATTACCAGCTTCCAACCCGGAAACCCACGGGTTCTGACCCAGCACCCGCTGTTTGCCATGAGCCCGGGGTCATAGGTCCCTGGCTCAACCTGCCACGTAGGAAATGTTCAAGCTAACAAAGCCAGGAGGTCATTGCAGGCATTCTACACAGGGAGTCTTGGATGTGGGTGGGCTTTAGCAGCATGGAGGAGCACAGTCAAGGTTCCCAGCGGAGTCTCTGAGGAGCAGCTGTCTGGTGGATGGGTCTCTTTTTATAACTGAAGAGACGGAGGCCCAAGAGCTGGGTGAAGGTTACTGCTGAGGGTCACAGCAGGTTCAAAGGCTTCAACTTGATCGATCCTCAGGTCCAACGGTCAGGTCTGTCAATGTGGCCATAGCTCCATGTCTAGGGCAAGTCTCTTGAGATGTCAGGGAAGGTACACAGGCAACTCCCTTCTCCTACACCCTGTCTGTGTCCTGAAGTAGAGCAGTCACCAGGCTGATGACCTGGAAAGCTGGCTGGGCCGCGTCATACTCTGCGAAGAGGTGGCACACATTCTCTTGCGGCTCTGTCTGGCTCTTGGCCACAAACCCAAAGATCCTGGTGAGAGAAGATAAGTCTGTGGGGTTGTGGGCTAGTGAGACATCCTGCTGAGGGGAGGGCTGGAAGGGAAGGACACTCAGCCTGAGCCCAACTGTCTCTCCCCAAGCCAGCTGACTTCAATATCCATGTCTTGTGTGTGTGGTGTGCACCTGTTTGTGTGGACATGGCATGTGTCCATACATGTGCGTGGAGGCTGATGTCGAGTGTCATCCACAACTACTCTCTACTAATTTTGAGACAAGGTTTCTCACTGCATCTAGAGCTCACTGATTAGCTAGGCTGGCCAGCCAATGAGCACCAGGGATCCGCTGGTCTCTGCCTCCCTAGCACTGGAGTTATAGATAGACACGCTGTCTGGCTTTTTACATGGGTTCTGGGATCTGATATCATCTCCTCACGCTTGAGTGGCAGGCATTTTCATCACTGAGTAATCTCCCCAGCACTTTCAGCACCTTCTTATAACCGGGCAGCTAAAGAAAGAAGGTGCTTCCCCTGTCAGACTGGGTGATCACTTATTTTAGGCTCCGGGTCTCCATTTTGAATGGGGCTTCCTAAGGACAAGACTTGGAAGCTCCATTAGGGCAAGGATGTACTTGACCATCATCTATATACCTCTGAGATACAATCTGTGCCTTTGGCATGACACCTAAGACTCCAGACTGGGGGATCTTGTAAGAGCCATACCACAAAGGCTCTGAAGAACAAAAGGGGAGCTCCCTTCCTTCCTCTCTCCCTCTCCTCCTCCCTCCCTCCCCTCCTTCCTTATTTCTATTGAGATAGGGTGCTGTGGAATAATCCTTTTGTACACTGTGAAGATGTGTTGCTCTCATTGGTTTAATAAAGAGCCAACTGGCCAATAGCTAGGTAGGAAGAGGTTAGGCGGGAGAGCCAGACTGGGAGAATGATGGGAAGAAGAAGGGCGGAGTCGCCAGCCAGATGCAGAGGGAGCAGGACATGTAGAAAATGAGGTAACAAGCCATGAGCCATGTGGCAGCATGCAAATTAATAAATATGGGTTAATTTAAGTTGTAAGAGCTAGTTAGTAACAAGCCGAAGCTATCGGCTGAGCATTTATAATCAATAATAAGTTTCTGTGTAGTTATTTGGGAGCTGCCTAATGGGACAGAAACCTCCACCTACAATAGGGTCTCGCTATGTATCCCTGTCTAGCTAGCCTGGAATTGACTACAGAGACAAGGCTAGCATGGAACTAACTATATAGACCAAACTGGCCTTGCACTTATAGTAATCCTCCTGCCTCTGCCTCCTAAATTCTGGGATTACAGGTGTATGCTACCCCACCTGACCCACCCTCCTTCTGTTTAGTCTGGGTCTCTGGTACAGGGCCGCCACTGAGTGGTGGGAGGGGCTTACCTGGAAGCCTTGTGGTACTTTTGCCACCTGAAAGAAAGGAACACGACAGGGGTGAGCGATGGGGCTCTGCCCTGCACCTCAGGACCCCAGTGAACAGTGGGAGCTACGTCTCCACCTCTGCCATGCCCCACCGGGCCTGATTCCCAACCTCTTAGGGTTCACAGGCTGTCTCTGCTATTTCAATCCCAGAGTCAGCAGATACTGTGGAAGGCAGCTAGGCTTGGCACGGCCTTCTTAGCTCGGCTCAACCTAGAACTTACTTCCGTTCCTCAGGGTCCATTCCACAGAAGCGGAGGGTGGTGAGTGGATAGTGTCGTCGGAAAAACAGCCTGGGTGGATGCAGGAAGAAAAGCCAGGCTGGTGAGGGCCTATTCCTATGCTGTGCCCCCATTTCAGGATTTCTGGTTCCCCTAAAGCTCCCCCATCCTGTCCTCGTAGGGTTCTTAAAACCTGCATCATGCTTTCTCTCTCACTCCTGGGACCGGGCACACAGGCTGCTGCGTCTTTCTCCTTCCGTGGACTACATCTGCCTTATGCTCTTATACTGGGATCTTCGGCTGCCCAGGCCCATGCCATTCACTTTTTGAGGCCAGGGGTTACAGCTTGGTCTACTCTTGCCCTCCTGGTTAAGTAAGGGAAGGCCTTGGCTAGATTGAGTCCCCAAGTCCCTGGGTGAGCTCATTCCACCCTGTGTCTGAGGAGTCATTAGTGACTGGCCGACACACAGACTTAATCAGCACCCAGTGGGAACTGCCTAACTTCATCCCTGTTGGTCTCAATGAGGGAGGCCTAGGGAAGGCAGGGATCTTGTCTGGTATCACCCAGCATTTGCCAGCCCTTTCAGATCTGGGGCCCTGACCTCTGTCCCCAGCCTTCCCTCCAGCTCTGCTCTGTTAGCCTTGCAGCCCAGGAGCTAGGAGAGGCCCTTACTTCCTCTGGACATCTGTCAGAGTGATGCCCTGTTCAGTGACTTTGAAATCGACCAAAGTAGGTGTGGGGGGGACATCCCGCTCCAAGGTGATTGAGATGGCCTTCTGCACAGCCAGGGCTCCGCTCAGGGTCTCCACACTCACAGAGTTCAGGTACAGCGTGTGGCAACCTGTGGGATACAGATATTGATTAAGCTAGATCTGTAGCCAAGGTTTTATAGTGTGTGTGTATATCACTGGGCTTGGATCCTTCCTATGCCCAGGGACAGGAACGGGGCAGAGGGAATGGCTTTCTTCTTCAGAAATCCAGTGGGATCCTCTTAGAGCCACAAAACAGACTAGGAGTCCAGGGATGACCAAAACTTCTTTTCCTCTACCTATGGCTATCCCACCCCCTTGACGAGAATAGGGAGAGAAAGAAAGAACAGGAGGAGGGGAGCCGCTGTGCTTTGTGGGAGGGGACCACAAAGCAGGAGCCATCACTGAGTGCTAATGGATGCTTGGCCTCTGGAAGTGGGGACCTTTGAAATTCTTATGGTTCAGATCTCATCCCCCACAGAGGGTCCAGGAATCTCAAACACAGAGAGACCTTATTACAGATATGTGTACAATATGTGCAAGGGTGTCGGCTTACCAGACCCCCCCTCCCTGTGCCCAGTCCTCTCTCCTCCCCCCTGGCCCGCGGCGGCAGCCTCTCATCTCTTGGTTTATGAGACTGAGGAGGGGGGTGTGCAGCGGGGCTGTTAAGGCTGCAGAAACAAAGCAGTAATGGGAAGCATGTGTGGGCTTGTGTGAGTGTGTGTGTGTGTGTGTGTGTGTGTGTGTGTGTTCGTAGGGCTGGGAAGTGATATCCGGGTGCAGTGAGCCTGGTGCTTCCCCTATACTACTCACCAGCTGATATCTTCAGGCAAGAGGTCTGGCCGTGTGTGGGGGAGTCCAAGGCTGGTTCTGCGCCTCCCAGTTCTGAACAGAGGCAAAGGAAAATGCCCCAGGGGAGAGGGAGGAATGAGTGGACCCCTCTCAGGGGAGCAGCCCTCAAGAATCCCTTTGAATACCTCCTACAGCCGCCCCCACCGCCAGGAAGTGACAGGCTGGGAAGCCAGGTGTGAGTGCCTCCATTAGAGAAATGAGGACCACTTTGCCTAGCTTGCAAGGCTTTTGATCCCTTCCCACCTCTACCCTCCCACCTCCCAGGTCTGGGCCTGCTGCTCTGACCTTGCCCTCACAAGCCCCTGACCTCTTCTTTTGGACCCCGCCCCCCACCCCCAGGCTCTTTGTAGAGTAGGGATGCTGTGTCTCCACGGCTTGTTTAGGGCTCTTCCTGCTCCTTCTCCACTTCACTCCTGCTCGACTGAGATGACCCCCTTGGTCTGGGAGCTCGGGCTGCATCGTGTGGATGCGGCTGCTGACCTGAGCCTGGGGTGGACTCTGTGGGCCTGTGGACCAGCTACTTAAGCCTAGAACCTCATTTATTTTCCCTCCCTCTCTCTTTTCCTTCTGCCTTCTTTTTATTCAGTCTTTTCGCAGAGTGCTAACTGGACTGGAACTCACTACAGAGCCTCAAGTTCCTGGTCACTTTGCCTGAGCCTCCCAAGTGCTGGGATTATAGGTAAAGACCAGGACCTCATTACCTATCTACGAAATGGGGCTATGGGTAAGAGTTATAAGGGTGGTGGTAGTGGCATGTGTAGGGGGAAATAATACCAGACTTGTTCATCCCAGCTGTTGGATTTAGGCGCTTTAATCCTTTCAAAGGCTGTTGACTCTCTAAGCCAGTGGTTCTCAACCTTCCTAACGCTGCGACCCTTTAATACACAATTCCTCAAGTTGTGGTGACCCCCAACCATAAAATCATTTTCGTTACCACTTCATAACTGTAATTTTGCTACTGTTTATGAATTGTAATGTAAATATCTGATATGCGACTCCTGTGAAAGGCTCATTTGATCCCCCCCACCCAGGGGGGTCACGACCCACAGGTTGAGAACTGCTGCTCTAAGGTCTATTCTGGGCCAGGCACTGTGGTGTAAGGCTTGTCTGAACAATCTCATTGAATCCGGGCGCTGACACTTTGGGTATGTCTAAAGAGGGTTGTTCTTATTTGTGTATGTGGAGGGGAGAAGGGGCAACCTTAAATTCTCACAGGTGGGAAAAGGAGAGACACGGACCTAATCCACAGCAGGCAAATGTCATACTGACCCTAAAAAAATTCATCAACAAGGGTGAAGTGGCCGCTTTTAGTGAGAGCCAACGGGTCTGACCCAACCCCCTACCTTTCTGTGGGATGGAGAGTTTGCAGGGCAGGGCCAGGGCCATGATGGAGTGCTGGCACACGAAGGCCGAGAGGCTCCCTGCGAAGGAGCAGGAAGCCCGAGTGAGTAAGGCTTTCCCAACCCCCCTTCGTGGTGCGGGAGACCATGCCCCAGAGGCCCCGAGGCTGGCGAGTCTTACCAAAGTAGGGCTCCTCATCCGCTCCTTTCAGGTGTACCCCTTTGGCTGAAGACTCGACCAGGAAGTGACGTATAAGGTCAGCGCTGTCCTCACCTAGACCAAGGGAAGGGTTTGGTCTCAGAGCCCGGTGTTAGCTAAAGCCTGGCCCACATGACCCGACCCACTTCTTTGGGTCCATTCAGAGGCTCGCGTGCTAGCCTCTGCCTCCCTGTGGAGCCGCACGTAGGAAGCGTATGTCCATGGGCTCCAAAGGGGCAGGGCATTGCTCAGAGGAGTCTGTGTTTAGAAATTCCCCCATCCCATCCCAGCTGCCATTATTTCCCTTCAGCTCAGCCCTGCAGGCGCAGGGCTGGCTTTGACAGGCATCAGCGTGCCCTCTGACCCCGCTGTGACCCCAGCTTCCTCCTCCATTTGAGCTCATTGCCTCTTGAAAGGCTTCCTTGCAAACCAACACCAGCCCCAGAGGTCGCTGGTCCCCCTCACTCCCCGCCCCATGCTGTGGCTGTAACCCATATTAAGCAATCTCTCTACCACTGAGCCAACCCCCCAAACCCTTGCTAAGAACACGAGGTTGGGTGCTCCATCCTCAGTCTGTGTCTTAATTCCTCCGCTGGGGGTCATCCCCTGAGACTCAGTCACAGTTGTGCTTAAGTGACACTTTGTAGCAGTGTCGGTTACTGTTCTCATCTATCTCCCCAGTGAGGTGGTTTCCTCATGTGAGTGACTCCTCTACATGCCTGATTCCTTACACAGGGTCTGGTATGTGGTAGATCTCTCGGAGAGGTATGTGTGAGATCATAGGACAGCAAACATACTACCACACATATGTTATTAGCAATTACACATGTGATAAGCTCTCTCACACAGGATTAGTTTTTTGTTTTAAGACAGAGTTTCTGTGTAGCCCTGGCTGTCCTAGAGCTCGCTCTGTAGACCAGGCTGGCCTCGAACTCAGAGATCCACCTGTCTCTGCCTTCTGAGTGCTGAGATTAAAGGCCCCGCCCAGCAGGAGGAGCTATTTATTAAACACATGATAAATTATTACATGAATGATAAGATATTGGAAGTGTGATAAGCTCACACATACGTTAGTCACATTAGGTTCCTGGAGGTAAATCCGGGCTAGGCAGGAGAGCCCAGAAGACGGCAGCCTGAGGAGAGGCTAGGAGTTTCCTTCTGTACCCTTCCTCAAGGGTGGAACAGGGAATCTGGGGAGTCAGGGGCATCTCAGCCTTTCAGAGATGCTCCTCATGGTGCCTAGGTGCTAGAAGGTGGCTGGGGGAGCCAGGAGGAGGAGCCAGGAGGGGGAGCCAGGAGGGGGACTCTCCTCCTGGGAATCATCCTGATAGTCACTGCCAAGCTGGGACAGAGTCCACCATGGTGAGGATTCTGAGGTGATCAAGCAAAAGGTACGTACCTGGTTGGTTTGGGGCAGATGCCGGCGTCTCCTGTACCTTCAGGGCAAGGCCGAAGGAGCCTCGGTAAGAGGAACTGTCTCTGATGACGAAAGCACCTGGCTTCTCCTTCCTCAGCAGATCGATTGCTGGAACAGTCTTTGGTTAGAGGCTCAGCCACTCTAGCCCAACTCTCTTCTCACCCCCGCAGGGTCCTCCGAGAGAAGTCACACAACCTCCTATCCCCAGGAAGACCTTTCTCCCGCGTCTACTTTCTGCAGGTTTTGCTTACTTCCTATTTCCTAATGAGGCCAGCAGGCCACCCACCCTTCCGCAGGCTGCTGTTTGCCACTTTCTTTATCACATGACCCAGGGCCCCGTCTGCCTGCTGCACGGTACAGGCCAGTCACTGGGTCACTTGTCCCCTCCAGTACAGTGCTGGCTTTACCTTGCTCTCGAGTGATGCTTGGCTTAAACCAGTATTTTGATGTGTCCATCACGAACTTCATGGTGGGCTGCATGTCCTTGGCAGGACCTGGAGACAGGCAGAGAAGAGGCACTCTGTAGGCTGGGTAGAGGGTGGCTGAGAGACCACCAGAGAGAATGCTGGAGACCTGTCTTGCTCCTCTTCCCAGGGATTCTATTCCACTCATCCTTTCTGAGCCCGTCTCCGGGGTCTCTCCAAATAGCCTAAAGAGGAGAACTCAACTGGAGCTGTAGCTCAGTGGGTAGCGTGCTTGCCTAGCATGCACGAAACCCCAGGTTTGACCCCTAACACAACATAAAACCAGGAGGGATGGTTCTTGGCTGTAATCCCAGCATTTAGGAAGCTGGGGCAGGAGGATTGCGTTGAGGACAAAGTCAGCTTGGCTACAGAATTAGGCCCTATCACAAAAGCTCGAAACAGTGTTGGCAGGATGGCCCAGTGGGTAAAAGCTCTTGGTATGCAGGCCTGACAACCTGAGTTTGACCCCCTGAACTCACGTGCAGGTGAAAGGAGAGAAGCCACTTTAAAAAGGTGTTCTTTGAGTTTCACATGTGATCTGTGGCCCGTGGGCCCCCAGGTGATAAAGTCTCGTTGTTGCTATTTTAAAGGCATAGCTGAGGTGTGATTTTTTTTTCCTGTGTGGGTTGCTTTCAGGGCAGTGAGCCTTGGACTATAGTGCACTGCTCACAGACACAGGAGTCATTCTGGGAACCCCCGAGGAGGAGCCTGGCTCTGCCTGCAGATGGCTGAGAGAGGAGAGTCTGGGACACCGTCCCTGGGTCTCTGCTCATGGGAGGTGTGTGCCTCGAGGGTGCTGCGGCTCAGCTTGTGTTTACAGCTTCGGGTTCTCTGGGTGTCTATAGTCACAGGCTCCGGGAAGGAGGATGCTTGTTCTTTTGTGGTTTTCAGCCATCTGTGTTGGGATGCATCGTCATCTCCATTCCCTGCTTGCCTCTCCACCCCCGCCCCGAACCCCCCCACCCCGCCGCGATGTTCTTGTCATTCATGAACGAACGGCATGGCACAGCGAGGAATGACGCACCTCTGCCTCTCCTCGGGATAGCCAGTTAGTCACCAAGCCTCTTCTTCCGATGGCCTGAGGGTTGTCTGGCTCCGTTTCCTCCCTCACCCCAACTGCCCAGCCCTGGTTCTGCCCCCATAATCCTGCCTGACAGCTTCCAGGGTAAGCCATTACGTCTACACTGCTGACCCCACCTCTTCCTCTTTGCTTTGTTTCTTACTATAGGTCCCAGCTATCTCTGCAAGGAATGCCTTTTTTCCCTTCCTCTGGTTGCTGACTAGCTCAGATGTCACATCCTCCATCCTTCAAGTTGCCTAAGCCACTCCATCTGTCACCTATGAAACGTCGATACCTCTGTGAGAACCCTACTCTACGGTTAGTCTTGGTTTGGGCCACTCTTTCTAGATTGTGTCCATCTGTGTGTTCCCGTGTGTCCTCACACCCTGGCACAATGCTTGGTATACCAATATTGTGGTAGTCAATAAAAGAGGGTAGTCAATAAAAGTGTCAACTAGCTGTTGTCAAGTCCCCTTGGTCTTTGACTAGTCCCCTTAACTAAACCCTCTGATGCTGAAGATGTTGGATTACAACGTACCCTCTGGAGATGCAGTGAGAGGACCATCTGGTAGAGTCTGGTTGTGGCTCTTGGTGGCCTGACAGGGGTGACTGGGAGATGCAGCCCCAGGCGGGAAAGAGCCCTGGTGTCCTAGTGTCCGCTGGGCTGGGGGAGACTGTGGTTCTGGGCACCCATTGATTAGCACAATGGGTATGTCCACCATGGAGTTGGTGACAGATGCGGGGCAGCTACTGGCCTGCTCCCTGGCTACTGGAGGACAGTGGGCTACTTGAGACTGGACCATGTTCGGTATAGAGTTGTTGCTGGGAACCTGGGCATCACTGGGTCTCACGCACTGGGACCCTCGGTCCAGGCTGTGGAGGCTGGAAGCGGAGCTGGCTGGACTTCCCAAGGATCTTGAAGATGACGGATAACTGGAGAGGCTGGAGTGGAGGAGGGACTGACTGCTACAGAGAAAAGTAGACAAGTATTAGGACGTTGGGTGGTGACTCGGGGCCAGAGCTATGTTCTGGAATCTAGCCATCTGGGGGCCCCAGCTTGAGTCAAATAGAGCATTGCATACACCCTTACCCCAAACCCAGAACAAAGAGCACCCCCATCTGAATTCCAAGGGTGCAGCAGGGTGCAGAACCTCCCTAGGATTGAAGGATCTTTTGTCATTTAAACTAGCCAGTGGGATTAACCTCCAGCCATTAGTCCAGCCTGGATTTTCTCGGCTTTCACCGACAGGGTGGTCTGACTGAACCATCACAGACAGCAGGATCTCCACTACTCATCACTCTCAAAAGGCCTGCAGAGAGGCTGCGGCACCTGGGCCGGACATGTTTGTGGCTGGTGCAGGCAGAATGTTCTAGCCGGAGGAGGTAAACACCACTAGGCCAGCACACGTGGTGGTGGGATCTCTGGCTCCTTTGCCAGGGACTGCCTTGGCCAATGCCTTTGGAGTCGGTGTGTGGGACTGAGGTCTGGTGGGTTAGTCATCCTGAAGCAGTATGTGCAATGCTACTGTGAGGCCTAAGACCAAAGACCTGGGGCCACGGAAAGAAGGTTCAGGGGCTTTGTCAGTGGCGCAGGGAGGGAGGCTTTCGTTCCCCCAAGTCTGTGCACACCCTGAGCTGTGCTTACTAATTTAAAAAAGTATTTGTTTTGTGTGTGTAAAGGTCTTGTCTGTGTGTATAGGGCCTGTGAAGGTGGGAGGGGGCACTGGATCTCCCAGGACCAGAGAAACAGATGGTTGTGAGCTGCAGTGTGGGTGCTGGGAACTGAACCCGGGTCCTAGGCCAGAGCAGGCAGTGCTCTGAACCATTGAGCTACCTCTCCAGCTCCCACCGCTGAATTTTAATAACCTTCCCTCCAGATGGGTCATGTGAGGGCTGGGAAGAAAGCAGGTGAGTCTCAATAACGGAGTACTCCATTCTCAAAAGGTCAATGGAGGCCATGAACACTGAATTATGTTCTAAATGCTTTGAGGAGAATGTGAGATAGAAATGACTGTGACGGTAGAAAAGACGTGTATTTTTTTTGTTTTTTTGTTTTTTCCCTAGATAGGATTTCTCTGTGTAGCCCTGGCTGTCCTGGAACTCACTCTGTAGACCAGGCTGGCCTCCGACTCACAGAGAGATCTTACTGCCTCCACCTCCCCTGAATGCTGAGACTAAAGGAGTGAGCTGAGCCACCACAGCCCAGACAACATGTATTCTTTTAACTCTTGATGTCCGTGCCTTTTGCTCACAGAACAGGGTGCCCTTCTGTTGTGTGTGTGTGTGTGTCTCCGTGTCCACACGTGTGCTGCGACGCGTGCGAGGCCATGACCACGGAACTTACCTCCCAAACACGTAGCTGACGTCTGACGTGGGGCTGGCTGACAGCACGGAGACCCTGCTGCCCCGCTGTGGGGCCCTCGGCCCTTTCTCCCAACCTGGAGGAGTCGCCAGTGGAGAGCCTGAGCTCCTGCTTTCCCGGCCGGGGCTGGAGTTGCTAAGGGAAGACGGGGTGTGGGGAGAGGGATCCCTGCCCTGGTTCCCAGAGAAGATGAGGCTCTCGCTGCTGCTTCGGGTCTCTCGGGGGATGTCTCTGGAGAAGAGGAGGCTGCCATTGCGTGGGGAGCCAAAGGGTGGAGTGGCACATGGGCTGGAGCAGCGTTGGGGACCCTCGAGGCACCTTGATCTGGTGGAGGTCACTTCGATGTACTTTATATCTTTAGGGGGAGGGGGAGAAAGAAAGCATTAATGAAAGCCAGGAGCCAGAGAGGATTGTTGGGTGGAACACTGTCTGGCAGAGGTGATGGAAATTAGGGGTACACGAGCTGTCCCCCCTCTAGAGGGTCATGAATCCTGAGCCCCGGGGTACTGGGTGGAAGTGGGCATTCTATCAGACACACGGGGCTGGTGGGCTGACTCAGGCTTGCTGGCTCAGGGGATGTAGAAACAGTCTGGTTTGCAGTCACACACACTTGGGCGTGAATCTTGACGTCATCACTTTCTAGCCAGAAGGCACTGAGTAACTTTCCAGACCTCTCTTGGCCTCAGTTTCTTTATCTGCAAAGCTGTGGTCTACACCCAGCCTTCTAGGGTGGTGCTGAGGCGCAAACACGGGATGAATGGAGCCTGGCTCATGGCAAGGCCTCAAGGAAGGAACACTCCCTACCAGCTGCTCTTGGTGGTCCAAAGGGAGCCCCTCACTAGCTGAGATGGGTACCTTTGGCTTAAGAGAATGGAGTAACAGAGGTATTACTACACTGTAGGCTCTGAGAGAGAGAGAGCTGAGAGTGAGATAGATTTTTCCAGGACGCTGGCAAGTTTCTTCACTTACAAAAAACAAAAAAATCACCGGGTGGTGGTGGTGCACACCTTTAATCCCAGCACTTAGGAGGCAGAAGCAGGTGAATCCTTGTTGAGTTTGAGGCTAGCCTGGTCTACAGAGTGAGTTCCAGGACAGCCAAGGCTGTTTCACAGAGAAACCCTGTCAGGGGGGACGGGGGGACAAAATCTTTCAAGAAACAGTGTAGCCCCAAACTTCTCATGTAGCCCAGGATAGCCTTGAACCGCCTCTGATATCCTTGTCTCTACTTCCTCAGGGCTGGGGTCACAGGTAGGAGCCACCACCTCTAGTTTTCTGTGGCATCTGGAGTACTGGGGCTAGAACCCAGGGCTTTATGAATGCCAGGCAAGCCCTTTTACTGAGCAGCGTCCCCGGCCCCAACTTCTCTTTTTAGAAAGATGTTATACTGTTTATGCCCGTAACCACCTCTGACCCTGACAACGGCCCTTGGGCAGGCCAGATGTTGTTTTTACAGAGGAGGTAACCGGTGGTTGGAGATTAAGTGGGAGTGGAGTTGAGGCTTCTTGCCTAACTTTTAGCAAGGACAGGCCATTGCTAGCACGTAACACAGCTGCTCCCTGTCCTGTTGCGGCGGCTCTGCTGAAGTGCTATGGATCCCCATGTAACCATGAGAACTCAAGGTTCAGCTAGGCTGAGTGAGTCGTTCCACACCCGCCACACAACTGAAGGAGCGGCGGGGGCTCCAGTTTCTGCCCCTGAGCTGTGTTAGCGGCCTCTTCTAGGACCAAGAGGAACTCTTGGGGATCCCATTCCAAGCAAGGCCTTTCTGGTGCTTGTCTTGGTGTGTGGGTCTCTTGACCTGGTGAGGCTCCTAATCCCCAACTTCATGGGTCATAAAAAAAAAAAAATATCTAAGACCTTGCCTGGGAGCTGAGCAGGGTGGGAGGGACCTGAGCTGTGAGTCACCGCCCCCCCAGTCCTGAGGTGGATATGGCTGGGGTGGTGGAGGCTCCCACCCCATCCCTGGGGTGCAGCCGCTGTTTACAGGCCTGTGGGGCAAGTCCCGGCAGTGTAGGGTGGATGCAGGCGCCAGCCGCGGGCCTGGCCGGGGAAGGGAGGGCATGTGGGTGGGGGGAGGAGAGGCGGTTATTAAACAGCCTGCCCTTGGGACTGGCAAACAGCCTTGCCTGGCAGAAACTGCTGGAAAATGAAATGTGAGGACCTGATCCAAGGTTGGGGTGGGAGGTCGTAGAGAGGATAAGGGAGATGGTGTTTGGGTCTAGGAGCCAGGATCCCTCTGGGATGGGGACTCTGAAGGACAAGCCTAAAGAAAGGTGAACAGGAGGCAAGGGGTGGGGGTGAGGGGTGGGAGCTGAGTTTCAGAGGAGAAGCAAGTGGGCTTCCTCTAGGCAAATTCCACTTTAGGGAGAGAGACAGGGAACGAGGGCTTTAAGGATTCCTGATCCGCCACTTGGTAGGGGGTGGCTGAGGACCGTGGCGTCCTTCCTCAACCTCAGTTAACATATCTATAGAATGAAATCACCATGATTTCCTTCATGGGCAGATGCAGGAACTATGCATCACAGGAGCTAATCCCCACAAGAAAAAAAAAAAATCTGCGCAGCTGTGCGGAGGGAGTCAAAAGAGGATGGCCGAGCTCCATGGTTGAGCTTTACCAAAGGAGGAGAAAGGGGCAGGGTGAGCCTCTGCTGCTTCCTGATGACAGGGTCCCTCAAAGGAGATGGATGGGATGGCAGGAGGGAGTAGGGGGCGTGGGGGGGAGGTTGAATCCACACTGAGGATGTTAAGATGTAAGGGATCTCACCCAGAATTCCCTGCAGTGTCCTGGACCATGAGCACTTTCTCACCAGCAATAGTGGCCCCCAGGATGGTTTGGGGAGACAGAGATGGGCACAGCAGGCCTGCGGTGCAGGAATCTACCACTCTTGGGGAGGGAAGTCCCCTGAGAGGACGCTGAGTTGGCCCTGCTGTCTTAGGAGGAAAGAGTTCTGGGGTGTGAGAAGCATGTGAGCAGGGGCTGGAAGAGAGGACTGTTTGCTTCCTACCAAAGGGAACAAGGGAGATGAGGGCGCCTATAGTCCAGCACTCGAGACCGAGGTAGGAGGCTGCCTGGTTGCTGGCTAGCCTGGGCTACCAGGCAAGACTGTTTTTAAAAAAAAAAGAGGAGGAGGAGGAGGCAGCCTGGCAGAGGCCACTGCCAGCCTTTCTGCATTCCTTGTTCCTCAGAGCTGGATGGACCCATGCTTCTAGTGGCAGTCTGTACCCAGAAAATCTGATGGGGACCACTGCCCTGTCAGCCATCTGCTCTTCACCAGCCCTTCGGTGGAGGAAGGGACCAGCTGTCTTCTCCCCCGCACCCCACCCTATGCATGTGGACTCCTAATACCGATCTTGCCCCAACTGGCCTTGGCTGGGTGGAATCCCTGCCTTGGGGCATGAACATTAAAACCCCGGGCTGGCTCCTGCCAATGGTAATTAGGTCTAAAGCGCTTTCCCGCCCGCTGTGATGTGCCCATGACTGGCCTTCAGCAGCAGAAGGCTGCTGCAGGAGAAGACAGCCCCTTTAATAGGCTTGGCGGAAGAGGGGAAGCGATGGGAGGCCAGGATCCCCTGGTGGGTGCCAGAGGGCTTGGGTGCTGGGCTGGCTTCTATCTCAGAGTCTAAATCCGCCCCCCCCCCCCAGGGCTGGCTGTCCAGGCAATCCCCCACTCTACCATGTCTCAGTGCACCAAGACTTGTGACCAACAGGCAACAACAAGTCCTTTCTCTTCATCTCCACCGTACTCTTGGAGGTCAGAACACTTATTTTGTCCATTTTATAGATGAGGAACCAAAGACATAGAGGTGATGTCAATAGCTTGCATAAATAAGGTCGTAAGACCAGCCTGAACCTAGGGGTTAGGTTAAACTGGTTCTTTATTCGAGCCCATATTAACTTAGTTTTTCATCTTTAAATGGAGTCAAATTCTCAGCTCGGTGGGGTAGCATAGGAAGATTCCATACAAGTCAGGCATGGCAGTTCACACCTGTAATCCTAACACTTGGGAGGAGAAGACAGGAGGATGAGGAATTCAAGGTTATCTTGGGCTACTTGACATAATTGAGGCCAGCCTGGGCTACATGAGATCCTGTAGAAGATACTCAGCATAGGACAGGGCCTGGCATGCAGTAAATGCTCAATAAGTGGATGTCATCCTGGGTTCTGTGTGCACCTTCCGTCATTCCTGCTATGTGACCCCTGGGGACCTGACCTTTCTGTCTGCCCTATGGGTGGGTCTGCTGTTCCCTCATTCCCAGAATACAGTGGAGATTTTTCAAGTGTGGGGAACCGAATCGGCACCAGGGCTTTCCCGATCCCCCCGGCTATGTGTGCTGGTGTCTGCTTGCTCCAGCTTGTTACGAGCCGAAGACTGCCGATTTCAGATGTTGCTGGTTGCTGAACTTGGTCATTATTAACAACCGCATTCTGCAAACTGATAGTCAAGCAACTTACATTCAAAACAAAAGCTGACCAGTGGCAGTGTTCAGGAGGGGAGGTGGAGTGGTAGGAACTAGTCTGGGCTACACAGAGACTCTTATCTCCAAAAAAAACAAAACAAAACAAAAAACCAAACATATATGGAAGGTCAGACACACTCAAAACCCATACATCCCCATTATTTTACTATTATGTGTGCTTTGAGGTTTATGGCTATTGTATTGATACGGTGAGATTTTATTTTTTTCTTTTGTGCTGAGGACAGTTTAGGTTATCACTGAGTTGCATTCCCAGCCCTTCTCCCACTATAAAAACTTTTTTTTTTCCATTTTGGAGACAGGGCCTTGCTATGTAGTGCAGGCTAGCCTAGAAGTCAAGATCCTCCCCAGCGCTGAGGTTCCGGGTGTGTCCCACTAGCCCTCTGATGTATCTCACTGTTCTCCAAAGCGGTGGGCTACCCCACTTCCAGTTGTACACTTGGTAACGTCCTGACAGTCCCTCCGGATTGGGAGAATTTACACCCTGAAAATGGGCAGACGCTTCATATCAGGCCTTCTGCCTCCCAAACAGGGAGCCAGCATCCCACTTCCTGTGTTCTGTGTCTCTCTCATCCCATCTATTTCCTTTGGGCCTTTCCTAAGAGGTGTTCCCCAAACAGGGACTAGGGGTCACCTAGAAATCCTACAATAATTTCAGGGGACCACAGTTAGGCTATAAAGAGAAACATGAAGAGCTTAAGTAAGGCTCAGGGACTCTGCATTTACGAAGCCCTTACTACGTGCACATCATCGTGGAAACTGTTTACATGGGCTAGCACATCAAGTTCTCATCACACACACACACACACACACACACACACACACTACTGGAGTCTATCAGTTTCCAAACTCAGGCACCAGACAGTTGGATAATGAGGGAAATCTGTATACCTTTGGACAGCAAAGAAATCAGAAAGGTCAGAAGTTTGTTTAGGGCTGCATAATACTCCCCATAAGCTAAGGACCCCTGTGCCTCATCTTCCACAGAAGAGCCCTTATTTGCTTGAGCTCTGTCACCCAGCTCCCCTCCCCTAACCCCAAACCCTTACCTAAGGCTTCAGGTTCCTCCTTCTTGCTCCTTGAGGTGACGCTGCTGGCATGCTCAGTCTGGGGACCAGCAGTCCCAGAGGGAAGCAGCTGGAAGGTGGGGTCTAGTTCCAGGATCATCTGGTTGAGGGTCTCCAGGGAGATGTCAATGCAGGAGTCGAGGTCCTGGGAGGTCCCTGAGGCCTGCTCCCCGGGATGCTGCGGGAGGCAGGGAGCTTTGGCTGCTGCTTGCTGGAACCGGCCGGCGTGCTGGGCCTGCTGGAACTGGCCGGAGGTGCCTTTGCAGGGTGTGGGGGCCATCAGAGGCTGGGTTCCCCAGCTCTCTGTGGTGTAGTAAGGACACAGTGCTGGGAGGCCAGGGCTGGGGGCTGGATGCACGGCCATCCTGGATTCCTCATGGGGAGCCAAGCTGACCACGTGACCTCCAGCCAGCAGGGAGCTGGACATGATGGGGCAGGGAGTCCAGTGGTTTACTTCTGGGTTCTGATCAGCCTCACTTCTACCCCAGAGCTGTATCCTGCTCGCAAGAGCTCCAAGGACCTGAAAGAGGAGGGTGGGATCTGAGTGACCTCTGTAGGGGAAGCCCCTGCCTGGCTCTTCAGTGAAGGACAGAGCGGCTCATTCAGGTAAAGACTCCGCTGGCTCCCTGCCCCTGACACTCACTAGCTGTGTAAGTTTGGACAAAGGAATTATTTTTTTCCCTGTCTTAGTTTCCTCTTTTGAAAAACGAGCTAACGTTAATAATATGCTTAGGACAATGCCTGGTATAGCTAAGCCCATGCAAGTGGTGGTTAAGGGACTTAAAAGGATGATTGCTAATCACTTATTATGCCATGTGCATATTTCTAAATGAACGTTAGCTGATGTCTGTGAGAACTACCAGGTTCAGAGGCTCTGAGAGGGCTACATAAAGCCCTTTCAAGGTGTTCTAACAACCTGATGAGGTAGGTACCACTATTATCCCATTTTGCAAGGAAAAGAACCGAGATACAGGGGCCTGGCTCAACGATCGCGTAGGTAACCAATGTCAGAGCAGGACTGGACCCCAGGCTGCCTGCTATCTGATAAATGGATAAGCAAAATGGATAAGCAGGCAGGCAAGCAGCTGTGAATAGTATCACCGGGGACTCGGGGACTTGGGGGAGATTCTATGGCGCTGCTGGGAAGGCCAGGGAGGACTTCTGTGGAGAAGCTAGAGGACATGCAAAACCAAAAAAGAAGGAGCTAGCTGGGCCTGGCAGGTAAGAATGAGGAGGCGAGGCAGTGTTCAAAGCAGTGTTTGGCATGTGTAAAGGCCCAGTGGCCAGATGGGAGGTCAAAGGTATCCAGGAAACAGAGGCGCTTGGGATGGAGGGACAGGTGGGGCAGGTGGGCTAGCTAGGTTCTGCTGAGACTCTTAGGCTCAGCTCAGGGCTGACAATTCAAACCCTGGAGGTAAGAGAAAGCCACGAGGGTGTTTTTTTGAACTGGGTAGTGATACGATCGGATGACGGTCATTCCCTGGGTGTTCATCCAGAAAAGTAAATGTCCTAACTTTCTGTCTCCTTTCCTGTGGAGAGTTCTTCCCATTGTCTAACCTTGATGCTACATACCTGTTTCTCATAGATTGTGTTGGGGAGGAGGTGAAAGGTCCTGGGACAGAGCAGTGAGAAAGCTGGGTGGGACTGGGACATGCTGACCTTAGTCCTTCTGGCTTGCTGCCTGCCTCCCGTGTCAGAGCGTGAAGCCTCAAGGTGCTGCACGAGAAACCACTGGACAGTTCTGGGGATGACTTAGACATTGGGGCTTACAGAGTTCGGCACCCTCATAAGGGGTTCCCAGTTACAGAGCACCCATCAAGTGCCAGGCACTGGTCACCATGCTGTGTACAGCTGCCCCTGGTCATTCAGCCTTCTTGCATCCATAGCCTCTGTCCTCATCCATTGTGCCCCTGAAGACACCCAGACTCACCAAAGTCAAGAAAGCTCTAGGGATTGGGTGTGGTGACATACCTGTAATGCCAGCACTGGAGAGGCAGAGGCAGGAGGATCAGGAGCTGCACAGTAAGTTGGAGGCCAGCTGGAGATATAGGAGACCCTGTCTCAATCCCTCATGCCCCAACCAACCAACCCACCCACCAACCAACCAACAACAAAACCCCAAAAGCAACCAACAGAGGCTTCATCTCTGGGATTCAGATCTAGGCCTTGGCCCTTGTGATCTTAACTCCTTCGGCCACATGGAGTTCAAAGGTAGAGGGGACAAGGAGATGGGGCCATAATATGCCAAATGACAAAAAGCCAAGCCCGTCTGCACCTCCACCCGATCCCTGCTCCTCACCCCAGGCTCCTATGGCTTTGTTATCAGACTTCTTGGCTGGGTCCTGGGGTGGGGGTGCATGCTGATGTGGGGAAGCCATGTGGGGAAGCGTATCCATAAACGGCAGTGGAAGGGAGCTGGCCTGAGCGCCTTCCTTGGGGGCAGTTGAGGACACGGAGCCCAAGACACAGCTTTTCCCACATAGTCTCCAAGAGTCTAGGGAGCCAGGCGCAGCTTGCAGGGTTCACTGCCAGCCCCATAGAGGAAGCTGGGGACACTGGGCAGAGCGCACTGGAAGCTGAGTATCCCCCACGACCAGGACTCAGGATTGCCCACGTGCTTATCCGGAGGTTGCCTCTGTGCTCCTGTGGATAGGACACCTTCCTCTCTGGACTGATCTCAAGTCAGACACTTGACCCTATTTCCCAACAGTTCCGAGCAGGGAGAGCTGACAAGGCTGAGGGGCTTGCCTGGGCTACAAGTGCGTGTCTGGGGGTTCATGGTGGGTATTCTTGCCTCTAACAGTCCGACACGGTCACCCTGTGCTTTTTGTCACAGGTGGATCTCTCCTACCTCAGCTCCTTTTGGGATTCTGGAACCAACGGGTACATGGAGAGGCTGAAGACAGGAAGTGCTTCTGCAGGTTCTCATTTCACCTTCCAAGTCAGCCCTGGCCCCAGACACAGGCTCTGTCTGCCCCTCTGGGATGTTGCTAGACACTCCAGGCACTCCCAGGGCAACTTTCTAGCTGGCTCCTTTCTGCTCTGAGTCTTAGGCAGGAGTGCCTGGGCTCAGTGTGTGTGTGTGCACGCGCGCGTGTGCGTGTTCGTGTGTGTGTGTGTGTGTGTGTGTGTGTGTGTGTGTGTGTGTGTGTGTGTTAGGAAGGATTCCAGTTAGCTCTGCCCTTTTTACAGCTCCCTCCTACCTTCTCTTCTTCAGATTCTAGCTTATTCCTTTCCCTCCCTCTCCCCCAAACTCTGGGGGCAGGGAACTCCTGGGGCCCTGGGAAAGCCTTATGGTCATTCTTTGCTTAACTCTTTACTTATCCTCTCCCTGTACAAGTCCAAGCAGAGGATGAAATCCCAGACTCCCCAAAGCACAACCCCAGGATCCCCATCATTTGAGTTTACCTCCTCATTGTCTCTTGCTTCCCCAAGATCCAGGAGGCCTCCCCTGGGGCATCAGGCAGGCCCTGCCGGACAGTGGACAGCCTCCTAGTCCTGCCTGTCTCAAAGCTTAGTGCTCTGCATGGGAGTTAGGACGCCTGGGTCTGTCCAGGCTCTAACCAGGTGTCCAAGACCCCAGGCCAGCTTCTCCCCTGCACCCCGACTGGTGATCTCTTTATGAGCTGGACTGGGTCCCCCCTACCCCAGTGAGTAAAGGCACTTACCTGTGCGCGGCCCCTGCTGCCCTCACTTATGGCTCCCAGAATCAAACTATGCTGAGCCCAGGTAAGTTACTAGAGTAGGCGCCAGCAAACCTCAGGACCCGCCTTAAGAACAGCCCGCCCTCCGCCCGCCCCCTTCTCCCCTGAGGCCCTACACGTGGCCTTGACAGCGGCCGGCCCCGCCCCAGAGGTGTTCCAACCGCTCAGGTGGGGCAGTCTCTGGTTGGGAGGGGTGTGTGTGTGTTGGGGGGCAGGGGCGTTGCGTGGCGGGCTGGCCTGGCAGGCGCCGGTTAGGGTGTGTGTGTAGGGGGCCCCAAGCTCCCAGCTTGGCCCTTCCTATGTACCATGTGATCAGGAGGATGCCCAGACCAAGGTGTGCGGCGGCTTCCTTCGCCCTGTGGTGAGGAAACAGTGGGTTGGCAGAGACAGTGAGAAGGGGGAGCTTGGGTCTTGGTAAACGACACTAGTGGAGACCTTTCCCCAGACCTATCCTGTGGATCTGGACGCCTCTGTTAGGTTCACATGCTGTCTTTCCTAACCTTCTGTCCTGTCAGAAGGCCACCTCTAGCCTGGGAATGAGGCTTCTGACACCAGGGAGGAAGCTGGAAGGCCCTGGAGGGCTTCTTGTCCTGCTTCTCAATGAGTCACCCTCCTAGGAAGTTCTGTTAGGTGGAAGGCGGGAAGTCACCTCCTCCCTCCCCATGACTCCAACTCCCTCCCCGACAGGGGTCTTCGGGATGTTGTGAGGCAGTGTCCAGCCAGGATGAGTGGCAGAGCCCCATCTGGGCAGGTTTTGAGCCTGGAGACACATGGTCACACCAGCGGGCTGATCTTGAGGGTGAGCTGCCCAGCGTCCCTCTTAGGCTCTGCAGTCTGCTTTCTGATGCCCTGTGGTTTTGCAGAACCACCTTGAGCCAGTGTGCCCGCCACAAAAGGAAGCTGGACAAAGTGGTACAAGGTTTTTCTTCTGAAAAAGTAGCATTGAAAGGGGTCCGCAAGTGTCCTTATGATCCGGCAGACACCAGCCTTGGTGAATACAGTGTATCTATGAATGAAGAAAATGGAGAGCCGCAAGCCAAGGCAGCCTTGGTCTGTAGATTTTTACTTCACGGGCAGGTGGGAGGAACAAACGCTGAGATTCTTGGGTGGAAGGAGGGGTGGGTTACATGGAGGAGAAATGGCCTGAAGCTGTGTGTAGCTCAGTTGATACATTGCTTGCCCAGCATGTAGGAAGCCCTGGATATTTTTCTCTCTGAAGTTAGCACTTTTGGTTCACAGGCAACCACTTCTTTCAGCTTAACGGGCCCAAAACATTGATTTCCGTTTCAGTTGCCCCCAGACCTTGCCCAGCCTCTTCTGCCCACCCCCTGCGTTCGACACAACCAGCATTCTTAAGGGGATGCTGTATATGTATTGGTAGGACTGTCTCCCTCACTCTGCTGCCCTGATGGGTTATGTTCTATCATCTGCACACCTAGGGTAAATCTCTTGTTATGCTGCTTAACTCTGTTTGGATTTGACAGTATTTTGGTGAAGGATTTGGCACCTGTACTCATGAGGGCTAATGATCTGTCACTGTTTTATGCTTGTAATATCTTTGGCTTTGGCATGAGGGTAACGCCGGACTCATAGATGGAGTCGAGAAGGACCCCTCTGCGGCCATCTTCTGAAAGTGAGTGAGGAGAATTGGTGTGACTTCATCGTTAACTATGTCGGACCCTTCCTTCTGCAGCGAACGAACTGGTTCTGATGCTTCCACATTGGGAGATAATTAATTA